AAAAATTTGAGTTCGTTTATTTAATTTAAAAATCATTAGGGATGCAGAGTTTGAAAGGGTATTCGTTTATCGAGACCGATGGCATTCTCCCCCGAGCGTAAATGTGGGAGATCAACTATTGTTCCTAATAACCGAACATTGCCTCATTTCTAGAAAACATGATGCGGTTTTGAAAAGGATGCCGACTTATTAGGGAATTACCAGTAGTCACCCCCTGAGCATGATCGTGGGGGATATACTATTAATTCCTTAATAAGTGAACAATGCCTTAGATTTATAAAATCAATGCAATCAAGCAAATTATTTATCTTAATTATACTAAAAATAAATTAAGGATTTTTATAACTTACGGTGACAAATTATGAAAATTAAGAACCTAAGGGCTTAAATCTAAAAATTTGGGCTCTAATATTAATCCTATTTGTTTTAATCGATTATTGAGTCGAATAACTAAAATGGTCCCTCGAGCTTTTAAGCGAAAGCCACTTCGAAGTATCCCATAAATTAAGAGACTAATTTGAGATATAAGTTAAAATGGTGGTTCTATTTAACCTATTTAATTATGTCAATATTAAGAGCTTAACCAAAGGCGAGGGACTAAAAGGATCAAGGTCTGAAGAACTGAGTTCTAAAAAATTTAAAAGTTTGAGACCTAAATTAATGATTTCTAAAGTTATGGGCTAATTAAAATCTAATTATTACCTAATTATTACACTAAATTTTAGAAAATATTAATTATTAATTAATTTTAGAATCGAACAATCGATTCGAGTAATCGGGCGTATAATGTGAAAACTCGACTCGAATTGCTCCCTAATTAAACTAAAGTGTCATCCTAAATTCTAAGTTCGATTCAAGTACTAATCTAATTTAAACTAAATCTAGAATTTAAACTATGAAAAAACAATTAAAAATAAAATTAATCAAAATAATTAAATAAAAGATAATATAAAATAGTAAATATAAAATAAAATAACATGCATTAGGACCAGAATGCACAAATGTCGAATTACCAAGCTAAAAAGAATAAATTAAACATAAAAAGGGGCTAAATTAAAACAATTTAAAATTTCAAGTCTAAATCGAAATAAAAAAATAGATTAGGATCTAAATGTAAAAACACGCTTAAAATACATGGACCAAAAAATAATTATACAAAAGAATAAAATCATGCATAAAAATGGTAAAATCACAAAAACAGCCCATTTAGTGACCAAAATGCAAAATAAGCTAAAGTTTGGGGGACTAAAAAGTCAATTTACCAAAAAATTAAAGCATGCATAGCAGAATGGGAAAAATATCAATTTTGGTCCCTAAAGGGACCAAAATGTAAAACCACGATAATATTTCAGGGATTTAAAACGCAAATAACCAATTAAATTATCCTATATATATCAACTTATTTGTTATTGCTTCATTCTTCACCGAGAACTAAAAAAAAATTTGGGATACTCTCTTTCCTTCCCCCGGCTGGCAGTAGGCCGGCCACCGCCCGACGAAAAATCCAAAATGAGCCGAAACTCTAAAAAAAGATCTAACCCCCTAGGCCCTCCACTATTGCTAAAACTGACGAAAACCCACCCCAAAACTACTCAAACCGACCCAAAACCTCAGTTTCCTAGCTCCGATGACCCCCTTTCAAACCAGGTAACTTTCCGATCTACTCTCCTATTTTTTTATTATTTTTTGTTATTAGTGGGTATTTAGGCTAGCTTCGAAGTAATAAAGAATACATATATTGGTTGTTTTCTATATTCGAATACATGCATATTTTATGGAAGCAAATTACAGACACAAACATAGCATTCGAAAAAAATGTAATGAGTTTCGAAAATAAAAAAGGAACACGTAAAATAAAAGATTCGAAATTTAAATAAAAATAGTTCAAAAGTAGTAACCTTCCAATATTTCTGTTATTGATGGGGAATAGAATTTTATAGTATTTTTTGTAAGGATTTTCGAATGAAAAATAGAACCTCGATTACAGTGTGGTTGCTTGGGTTTTATACCCGTTTACATGGAAATAAAAAAGATTTATTTTGTTTGCTTGCTAGATGTTTTGATGTGCGTGGAGTGTGAGTTTGGTTTGCTTGTTGCTGTAGTTCTGACAGTGGCAGAGGATGGCCTTAGCATGGTTGTTGCAGGGTATGCTCGATGGCTCTGCCGAGGGTTACAGAGGCAGGGTGGATGCTCATTGGGGGAAAAATGGTGGTTGGTGATTGGGGGAAGTAGACGCTGCCCAGCTGTGTAAAGTAGACCCGGGTCAGGTTGGATATGGGTGAGCCCAGGTCGGGTCTGATTTTGGGAACCGTGTCTGGGTTTTTTAGTTGGGTCTTGGTTGGATTTAATCTGTAAAAAGGGGTTGGGTTAAAAATGGTGTTCACACAGTTACTGTTGCACCTCACATGTTCATTAGTGTCTACAAGAATGTCTTGGCTGTTGCAGTTGCCACGAAGTATTCGTTCCCTAAGGCTGATAAGGAGAAAGAATATTTGGCAGTATGGAATTGACTCTTAACCTGTTAGTTATTTCAAATTTCCTATCTTTTGACATTCACTAATTGTTGCACACTTTCAGGATCCAAGAAATTTGTAGTTGCTACTGCGCCACACATGTTCATCATGCCTACAAGAATATCTTAGCTGTTGCAGGTGCCACAGAGTATTCTTTCCCAAGGTTGATAAGGTGAAAGAGTATTTGGAGGTATAGAATTGAGTCTTAACCTATTAATTATTTCAAAATTTCCTATCTTTTTAAGATTCAATTAATTATTGCACGCTTCTAGGATCCAAGCAAATTTGCAGTTGCTGCTCCACCACACATGTTCATCAATGCCTACAAGAATTTTGGTTGTTACTGTTGCCACTGAGTATTCATTCCCTAAGGCTTATAAGCTGAAAGAGTATTTGGTAGTATGGAATCGACTTTAAACCTGTTAATTATTTCAAAATTTCCTATGTTTTTAAGATTCAACTAATTGTTGAACACTTCCAGGATCCAAGAAAATTTTCAGTTGTTGTTACACCACATATGTTCTCAATGCCTATAAGAATGTCTTGGCTATTGCAGTTTCCATGGAGTATTCATTCTCTAAGGTTGATAAGGTGAAAAAGTATTTAGGGTATGGAATCAACTCTTAACTTGTTACTTATTTCAAAGGTTGATAAGGTGAAAGGTATTTGGAGGTATAGAATTGAGTCTTAACCTATTAATTATTTCAAAATTTCCTATCTTTTTTAGATTCAATTAATTGTTGCACACTTCTAGGATACAAGCAAATTTGCAGTTGTTGCTACACCACACATGTTCATCAATGCCTACAAGAATGTTTTGGTTGTTACTGTTGCCACTGAGTATTCATTCCCTAAGGCTTATAAGCTGAAAGAGTATTTGGCAGTATGGAATCGACTTTAAACCTGTTAATTATTTCAAAATTTCCTATGTTTTTAAGATTCAACTAATTGTTGAACTTCCAGGATCCAAGAAAATTTTCAGTGTTGTTACACCACATATGTTCATCAATGCCTAAGAATGTCTTGGCTATTGCAGTTTCCATGCTTCCAGGATCCAAACAAATTTGCACTTGTTGCTGCACCACACATGTTCTCAATGCCTACAAAAATATCTTGGTAGTTGCAGTTGTCGTGAGTATTCTTTCCCTTAGCTTATAAGATGAAAGAGTTTGGCGTATGGAATCGACTCTTACATGTTAATTTTTCAAAATTTCCTATCTTTTTTATGTTCAATTAATTTTGCATGCTTCCAGGATCCAGCCAATGAGCAGTTGATACTGAACCACACATGTTCATCATTGTCTACAAGAATGTCTTGGTTGTTGCAGTTACCAAAGAGTATTCTTTCCCTCAGGCTAATAAGGTGAAAGAGTATTTGGAGGTATAGAATCGAGTCTTAATCTGTTAATTATCAAAATTTTCTATCTTTCCAATATTGAACTAATTGTATCACATTTCCAGGATCCAAGCAAATTTGCAATTATTGTTGTACCACACATGTTCATCAATGTCTAAAAGAATTTCTTGGTTGTTGTAGTTGCCACGGAGCATCCGTTCCCTAAGGCTGATAAGATGAAGGAATATTTAGCGGTATTGAATCAACTCTTAACCTGTTATTATTCAAATTTCCTATCTTTTTTACGTTCAATTAATTGTTGAATGCTTCCAGGATCCAAAGCAAATTAGTAGTTGTGCTGAACAACACATGTTCATCAATGCCTACAAGATCTTGGCTGTTGTAGTTACCACAAAGTATTCTTTCCCTCAGGCTAATAGGTGAAAGAGTATTTGGAGGTATAGAATCGAAACAAACCTGTTAATTATTTCAAAATTTCCTATCTTTTTAAGATTCAACCAGTTGTTGCAGCTTCCAGGATCTAAGAAAATTTGCAGTTGTTGCTGCACTACACATGTTCATCAATGCCTATAAGAATGTCTTGGTTGTTGCTTGCCACGGAGTATTCATTCCCTAAGCTGATAAGGTAAAAGAGTATTTGGCATTATGGAAACTCTCTAACCTATTAATTTCAAATTTTCCTATCTATTTAAGATTCAATAATTGTTGCACGCTTCCAGGATCCAAGAAATTTGTAGTTGTTGTTGCATCAAAACATGTTCATTAATGCCTACAAGAAGTCTTGGCTGTTGCAGTTGCCATAGTATTCGGTCTCTAAGGTTAATAATGTGAAAGGTGTTTTAGCAGTATGGAATCGACTCTTAACTTGATACTTATTTCAAAAGTTTCTATCTTTTTAGATTCAATTAATTGATGCACGCTTCAGGATCCAAACAATTTGCATTTGCTGCTGCACCGCACATGTTTATCAATGCCTACAAGAATATCTTGGTAGTTGTAGTTGCCGTGGAGTTTCTTTCCTCAGGCTGATAAGATGAAAACTATTTTCGGTATGGAATAAACTCTTAACCTATTTATTATTTCAAAATTTTCTATCTTTTTTACGTTCAATTAATAGTTACATGCTTCTAGGATCCAAGATAATTAACAGTTGCTGTTGAACCACACATGTTCATCAATGCCTACAAGAATGTCTTGGTTGTTGTAGCTGCCACAGAGTATTCTTTCCCTCAGGCTAATAAGGTGTAAGAGTATTGGAAGTATATGTTGAGTCAATTGAATGGACGAAATAGCTAAGAGGTGGTGAATTGGCAATTAAAAATTTTGGTGGAAGCTTGACAGAAAAATATAAAATTGAACACAAGAATTTAGAGTGGTTTGACTTTATCAACCAAAGTCTACATCTACTACCTTAGCTATCCACACTAAGGATTTCCACAAATTCACTAATTTGCATCTACCTTTGAGGATAAGGTGTAACCTTACAACTTCCTCAAAAATTATACCCCAAATTCTTGAGACAATTTCTCAAAGAGAAAATTACAAATTGCAACTTATAAAATCCTCACTAGGAATATGTTTGCACAATTTAAGAACAAATAAGAATACTTCAGAATAAATACAAATGATAAAAAAGTATTCCTTGAAAGCAAGAGATTATTGAAGAATGTTGACTTGATTTGGCTCAAATTTATTGTTTTTGGCTTTCTCTTTTGTCTCTTATCTTCACAATGGCTTGAGATCTTGTGTCTATAGTCCCTCAATTAATTCCAACCATTTGAGTTGTTATGAGTGAATAGAGCCGTTGGGAGGTAGTTTCTCGCATTAAATGCTATCCACAAGCTTGTAGTATCGGTACTCAGTATCTCAGTATCGATACTCCCTGCATTAAATAGAAAAATATGATCATTGGGAAACTCTAGTATCGATATTGTTACAAGGGTATCGATACTACTATATTTAGTACTATTGATATGTATATAGTATCGGTACCATTTTAGAATACTGGAATTCTGACGGATTCAAATCAAAAAGGTAGTATAGGTACCACCACTGAGAGTATCGATACTGCTACACTAAGTAGAATCGATATTATATATAGTATCGGTACCATTTTAGATTATGTTTTGTCAAACTTGCATACAATATCTATACTACCTTAACAATATCGGTACTACTTCATAATTTTAGGCTTCAAAATCGATATCTGTATCGATACTACTATGATTAAAAATTATTTTTGACTCGATTGAAGTTTGAAACCCTTAGTAAAAAAGTATTTCAAAAATATTTCCAGTATATGACTCAATGTTCAGTAGAGTGAGGAGTAAAATTGACCTTTAACTTTAAAGAATATTTATATATTAGAATGAAAAAAATCAAATATATTCTTAAAATTTGTAAAAACTATTTAACAATTTTTTGGTATATCAAAATATAAATTGTTTTCAACAATCCCCCCTATATAACAAAACATTTAAGAATTTTAAGAGTTTCTTGAAAAAAATACTTCCCCTTGCTCTAACATTTCTCCTCCTTTTTGTAAATAAAAAAGATAAGGTTCAAATAAACAAGATACATAATAAAGATGTGAAGAACAAAAGTGCCAAACAAGTTAATCAACATAATTAATATACATAGGCAGGGTATGGTCACAATAAAAGGAAATATGGACGAAAAATTCGAAATATTAAAAAAATTATCAGACCATCCAAAACATAAAAGAAATACCAAATCCAAAATATCAAATTCTAAGAAAATCACACGAAAATGTAAGTTCAAAGTATGACATGGAACACCAACGAAAATGAACTAGCAAAGCAAACGATCAAGCATCTGACGGAGGATCAAGATCCGAAAGAGGTGCGTGAAAAGAGGCAAAGTGTCGAGAAAGAGCGCTGTGTCTATCTGTCACCATGTCAAATCGAGTGAGGATGTCTCGTCGGGAATCCACATGCATCGCTTGCAGTGCCAACTACTAAGAAGCTATCTCGGATACCTGAGTCCCCAAAGTAGTAAAGTGGGACTCAATAGAAGCAAACCTCAAGTCCAATGTCTTAATCTTTAACTAAAATAAGGAGGCATCTCACCATCAACACTAGGAGGCTCGTCAGGAACGCGATTAACTGGATCATCAACGTCATGTAATACATCATCGTCCTGAGGTTGAGCTGGAGCCGCTCGAGATGAACTGACATTGGGAACCTCTTTAGCTTTCCTTTTCAAAGTGTCTCAAACTTTAGTCCATCCTGACTACTAAGAGATGTAAGATCAATATGGTTACCTAAGGGAATGACAACATCAAGATCGACTCTAAGACTAGCTTTATAAAGAAACTACTAAGAAGACAACAATACACAAGAGATTCGACCCTCTTAGAAGAAATATGGTTAACGGTGTCCACTAATTCACCGAAGATGTTATGAGCGAGGTTAATTCTTTTATTTTCTTGAAAACAGTGAATCCACCATATGTCAATGCTACGGAGAGAGGAATATTTACCTCCAGATGGTCTAAACCACCAAGAGATGATCAAGTGAAGGAAACTCTCGTGAAAATCAAGAGCACTAACGCTCTGCCCTACTTCTAAGGAGGAAGGGACGAGTCTCGCTCATTATCAATACCAGTGTT